ATTGTTCTTTATATATTTAATAAATCTATATGTTATTTCGTTTATAAGACCTTGCTTAGTGGTGTACACTCTTTGTAATATTGTTTTTAAATTTTAGTCACTTAAATTTGTTTATTGTAACATAAAAAATTAGAAAGTAGTATTGCAAAAAAAATTAGTATGATTCAAGCAAAGATATAGAGAGTCTGCAGATCTGCAGTAAAATATTCGCTACATGCAATTGTTTATAGATATTCACGATCTACTATTTTGTATCTCTATTTGGATTTCTTTTCGCTAAATGTTGATTATCCATTGAACTTATCTTATTTAATCTTATTGACATTTAATAAATATTTGCAATTTAATATTTTATATCAGTGGCATTAAGGAAAAGAATTTCTTTCTTCATTACGAATTTCCACCTTACGCGACTAATGAAACGGGACACTCGACTCGAGTTGGTCGCCGAGAACTGGGACATGGTGCTTTGGCAGAGAAAGCCTTGCGACCGATTCTTCCAAAGGATTATCCCTTCACTATAAGACTGACTAGTGAAGTCCTAGAATCTAATGGTGAGGCGATTATACAGTGCATCTGACAATAAACCTATTTTAATAAATAATCTTCTAAGACTACGATAATGTACCAAAAATTTTATACTAAAAAGTTAAAGTTATGTCTTGCTTAACAAAAAGGTTCCTCTTCAATGGCTACCGTTTGCGGCGGAAGTTTAGCACTGCTCGATGCAGGTATACCAATATCTTCGGCAGCAGCTGGCGTGGCTTTTGGTCTTGTGACTAAATATGATGAAACCAATACACATATTCAGGACTACAAAATATTGACTGATATATTGGTACATATTTACACAACTATTACACAGTTTAATTAATTAAATTAATTTGGTTACAGAATATTTGCTGTAGCAAATATTCTGTAACAATATAAAAAAATTGTCATTTCGAAATTGATTATAAAGAAAAAAACAGAAACTGAAGAAAAAAAGAAAGATTATTACATATTTTAAAAGAACATACTTTTATTCCTACAATCATTACACCAAAATTGCAATTTAAAATTAATACTATAGAATTTCAATGATTCAAAATATTCAAAGTCATTTTCTGAAAATTTTCTGTCCTTTTTTGAATAGCAAATGAGTGATGTATACATGGCATCATCAAGATATAAAGATCAAGGTATAAAGATTACTTTAATTTTTCAAATAAGAATCTATTTTTTGTTGCATATTTGAGATCAAGAAACATTTAGAATGTAGATTGTTGATTCCTTCAGGGTAAATTTATCCCAAGTTATATCGGGATTAATATTTAAATCAACAATTTTGATGATTAACAAAAACCTTCGACTGCAGGGAATTGAGGATTACCTTGGAGATATGGATTTCAAAATAGCAGGCACCAAGGGAGGATTCACTGCATTCCAAGCTGATATAAAGATACCAGGAGTTCCGTTGAAAATCATAATGGAGTGTATAGAAAAAACAACGAATGCTAAATCGGAAATATTTAAAATTATGAATAAAGTGATACGAGTACCGCGACAAACTAAGAAGGACAAGATGCCAGTAGTCGATAATTTAGAAGTTCCTGTTCATCAAAGAGGAAAGTTCCTTGGAGTCGGCGGGATGAACCTTAAGAAAATATTCTTGGAAACCGGAGTGCATGTAAGATTTTTATGATCTAAAAAATTTTTGTGCAGCGATGGCCTGAATATTATTAAATTCATAATAAAATTATTTATTATAATTTTATTATAATTTGAGATTTATCTTAAGTTCCTTATTTTTATTTCGTTCAGATATATCCATATAACGAAAACACCTACTCAATATTTGCGCCGAACGAAGATGCTATGACGGAGGCAAAGGAAATGCTAGAAAAAATTTTACGAAAGGATCGTGAGCCGATTTTGGAATTCGGCGCTATTTATACTGCAAAAATAGTAGAAATCCGAGAAGCTGGGGTCATGGTGACGTTATACTCCAATATGATACCGACAATATTACCCAACTCTCAGTTAGATCAACGTAAGATTCATCATCCCAGTGCTCTAGGACTTGAAGTTGGTCAAGAGATACAAGTTAAATATTTCGGACGAGATCCAGTATCTGGACAGATAAGGATATCACGGAAAGTACTGCAAGCACCAACTTCGGTTACGAAAACTTTATATCGTGATGTGGAAAAAACGTGAAATCTATGATATATAGAATTAAAATCAATGTATTGACAATACATACATCAGTTATACATGTGTAAAAAAAACGCTCTATGTGTATATTTGCCTATCTGTTAAAAAGTGATCATTTTTATATATAGTAGATTCTTCCTTGTATATTTATTTATTATTCCTTGTATTTTTGTACGATCCATTATTAAGAAATATAAAAATATAAAAATATAAAAAAATTGCAGTTAAAACATTCAACAATGTGTTCTATCTATCTTGCTTTCATATATGTATATTGTCGTCGATATGAATTACTCGAAGATTTAATGGAGTTTACAAATGTAGAATGCCTAACACGATTCTTAAATTTCTTCGTCAATAGTTCACAGAAAGTATAATTGACGAAGAACAAAAGTACACGATTGATTTCTCGATTTTCAGAGATAATTTTCTCTTGAAGATAAAATCTTAAATGGAAAAGATTCTATTCTACATTGCTTAATATTATCTTGTCATTTACAATCATAATTATTTAATATTATGAGTAAAAGCATATTATGTGTAAAAATCGCGCAATAAGTTAAAAATAAACAGAACGATTCTTCCTTCGCTTGAATTATCTTTTCCTAGAAATAAAGGAAAGAGATAAACTGAAATAACAGGATATTAGGATAAGTTATAAATTTTCACGTACAGTCAGTAACATAATTTATTTCTTATGTTTTCTTTATTTCTAAATCATATTCTTGTAGGGACAGAGCGCATTTAACAATTTTACATTCAATACTTACATTATTTTTACATTAAATGTTGAATAATAAAGTCAATAATTAATAATATAACAAGAATTTACTTCTTAAGAAATACTTTTTTATTTAATACTAATAAATTTTTTTATTTAATATTAATAAAAAATATTAACATAATTTTGTCTAATTAAAAATATGAAATATGAATATGTTCCTTTGTTTATAAACGTAAAAAGGAATAATTTGACAATCTATATTTAAATATACATTGTACTTCATATAATATCTTTTTCATTCATGTAACGTTTTCACAATTTCTGATCATGCTGAATAGGATTGCACGTTTTTGTTATCACTACGTATTCAAGCGGAGTTCTACGTTCACACTTGGTGCCGTGATTAGCGTGATGTATTTTGAGAGGGCATATGATGACGCTTGTAAGTACATATTTGAAACTGTGAATAAAGAGGTATTTCATTATAATAATATTATATATATTCATATACTATTTATATAATATTTATATAATGTTTATCTGAAATACTTAAAGATATAAATAAATACTATTCCATGACTTTCTGAGTTATATATGTGACGATTTTTGTCATGAAACGATCAAAGTCATCAAAATTAATGAAATTGATTTACTTAATGTTTATTACAGAGGCTTTGGAAAGATATAAAACATCTATATGAAAAGTAAATTATGGAAACTCGATATGCATACAACGATCAATCCCTTTCATCGATAATAAAGAAACTCGTTATGGATTAATGTGTACACAGGTATAATATACTTTGTATTATTGAATTTTAAAATTTGTCAAATTGCTTATTAATATTACTATTAATTGTACACTGTATTTTATAACAGAACCAGATAATTTTAATAACAATAATTATGAAAACTGAAATGGTATACAAATGGTGCATATTAAACCAGAGATAAAGGCATTAAACTATTGTTAATATTTATTTTTTAATTTTAACACTACATATCCTTAATCGCACACGCATGATTTTATTTTACAAATAATGATGTAATTAATTGCGGAAAAAATCAAATAAAAGTTAATTAAAAGTATCTTAAAATAGGAAATTTTTCAATTAAATACGTATTAATAATTATAAATTATTCAATTTTTTTAACACGTATAATACAATGCGTAAATTATAATGCAATTAAATATTGTAATAATTATAACAATTATAATAATCATTAGTAAAAAGTACAATCTGTCTTATTTATTTTATGGTCGGATGGGCATTTTCTATATTTCCCCTTACTTTTAACTTTTATTTTGAAGACACATGGAAGAAAAATGTATGCCTATATGATTTCAGTCTTTCTTTCACTCTCTCATCTTATATGCATTCATATGATATGATAACGGGAGAATGGCATAGAGAAGAAGAGATCTTCGTTTGCAAAAAAAGAAATATAGGGTAGAAGAAAATGTATAATAGAGAATAATTTAATTTTAAAAGAAATACTGATTATATTTACAACTTAATTTGAGAAATTAATTAATTTTGTAGATTTTGAAGATCATAAAATATTTAAATCATATTTGTTGCACTATAGTTGCAATATTTTTGTGAACATTTGTAATATGTAATTTCTCCAATTTTATCAAATAGAAATTTTTTACAGTTTTTGTATATTATAAGTATTACATGCTTATTCACACATACAGAAAAAAGATTTCTAGTTATTTGATAAATCAAATGCGTTTGTTAGATATCTAAATATATACTGATTTTGATAAACTTTATGTTATTCGGAACTTCCAATGATAAAAACATGAATAAATGCTAGTTTTTAGAAATGACGTAACGATATAAATGATATATACGGGTTGCAGATTCGAAAGCGCAGTATTTGCAAAGAACGTTCAGTGAGAAGCTAATAGCCAAAATAATTACAAGTATTTAGACTTATTCTTACGAATCAACATTAAAGGTATGCTACATTTCTACTATTAATTTTTAAAAATTTGTACGCAAATTTTATTTATTTGTGGAGGAATCATTAAAAGATATAATAATCTTTCGTACATTTTGCTATTATATCCTTTATAATATATTAAAGGTATAATATTTTTATTATATTTAATATTTAATAATTAAATTTGATAATAATTGAATATAAAATCAATAAAACAAACAATACTAATTTACCAACTTCTTGTTTAAGAAATATGCGCGTGTGTATTAGAAAGTTTTTAATTTATTTCTATTTAATTGTTATTTTATTTAATATAATATTTTTTAATTTTGAATTTCCTTTTTTTTGACAAACTAAAAAATGTAACAATTAACTTTCTGTGTTTGCGTTATTATAATGTAAGATCATTTTTTTCTAATTTATTTATGTTTTTACATATTATTATCAGAAATTATGTTTCAATTGTTATATTGTTTGATATAAAGGATATTTCCGCTAATTTAAGCATTTAAATATTAAAAATATTTGTACTGTTTTTAGTGGTATGATAAAATATCAAAAGCTAAAATTATTTGTTTTGAGAAAGTAAATATTATATAAGCAAAAATAAATAAAAACCTATTATGCTTTAATGTCCAATTTTTATAATTTTGTCCAATTTTTAATTAATTTTTAATAATTTTTAATAATAATAAATTATAATCTTCAAACTAACTAAAGTTAGAAATGATGCTATAATGTATAAAAAACGTCGTACGGTATTTTTTTTGCTGAGGAAAAATTGAATTTATAAATGTTTCTAATTAATAAATAAGTTTTGCATAGTCTTATAAACTATACAGGGTGTTTGATAAGTAACGACAAATCTTTAGGGACACAGGAGCAGGATGGAAAAACTGAGAAGAAATTAAAGTCCTTTACTATTTTATAATTTTCGCAATAGTAAATAAGGTATTAATTACTAAAAATTGTCGAAAGTTAGTCTTCAATAATTTTTTACTCAAATACTATCAATTTTACAGAAAAATTGCAAGAGACAAAAATTGTTTATTTTCTTCTTATAGAGCTCTAAGAATTTTTTTTTCAGAATTTTTTATCAACTTTTTAGTACTGCATTTTTCTCAATATGAAAAAATATGGTATTAAAAAATACTGAAAAAATTCTTAGAACTTTATGAGAAGAAAATAAACAATGTTTGTTACAGTTTTTCTGTAAAGTTGATAGTATTTTTAGTAAAAAATTATTGAAGACCAATTTTCGGTAAATTTAGTAATTAACATCTTATTAATTATTGTGAAAATTGCAAAATGGTAGAAGTCTTTTCTTCGCATCAGTTTAGTTCATTCTGCCTCCGTGCGAAAGATTTGTTACTTATGAAACATCCTGTATAATGTTATGTATAGTTTGCATACCATACTGAGCATTACAATTTGGCACAATATTAAGTTATTTTTTATTATTTTTACAGATGAAATTGACACTGTTTATATTAACGCTTTTGTTGGCTGGAAAGCCAACTTTATTACAACAAACAAGTACGAAGACTATATCAGTTCTGTCAAAAGAACATGAATTAAGATTTAATATAAAGATTATCAATAAAGAAGAAAAAAATTATAAAAATGCAGTTAATGAAATTATTAATTTCAATGAAATGGATTTAAAAACAATTAAAAATGACATTATTAAGAGCGACGCAATTCGTGACATCTTTCTGTCACACAATTCGTTAAAAAAGATTCCACATATCTTGGATCACGTGACATATCTATCGTACTTAAATTTGTCACACAACAACATCAACCTGTACGAGGCTAATCAAATTGTACATTCTAATCTTCGAGTATTAGACTTAAGCAATCAGAGAACAAATGTCATACTGGAAACAGAAATGGAGACGTTTGAAGAAACAGAAGATATATATAAACGTTTGATTTTTAATACCACCAAGATAAGATTACCGAATTTAGAATATCTCAATTTATGTGAAAATGATTTATCAGCATTTTCATGGGATTTTAATTTGTCATTTCCAAAGTTAATACGTTTAGATTTATGTAAAATTAATGCGATAGAATTGGAATCTAATTTTTTCTATAAAATCTCTACATCATTACGCGTCCTTCATTTGGAGAACAATCATTTTCGTAATTTCACCTTACAAAACGTAGGAGAAATTACTTCTTTATATTTGGATGGAAATATTGTTGAAACTCTGTTTATAAATTCTACGAAATTGCGAATATTATCATTATATAATTGCACGAATCTAAGTAACGGAATTTTCGAAACACCGTACTTAGAACAACTTGATTTATCCAGGAATGATTTTGGTAACCGTCGAACAGACGGTTCTATCATTCGTTTTGAAAGGTTTCCATCATCGTTAAAAGTGCTTTTATTAGATTATAATAAATTGGCATACGTTCCTATTTTAACTAATTTGCAATGGCTTAACGAATTATCGTTGTGTTACAATATGATTAAATTTATTAAACCAAACACTTTTATGTATTTAACGTCTTTGACAAAATTATCATTAAAAGGAAACAAGATAGAGCGCCTTGAAAAGGAAAACTTGTCAGGTTTAGAGAAAGTAGAATACCTGGATCTGTCAAAAAATCAGTTGAGTTATTTACCAATTGATTGGGCATCGTCATTATTAAATCTTCAACATTTAAATTTAAATTCGAACCAATTTGGAAGTATTTCAGAAATGGGTATATATTCGATAAGTTCATTGAAATATTTATTTGTACGAAATAATACATTTAATAAAATAACAACACTCGAAATAGAACCATTACCGGATTTTATTACAATATATTTAGCTTAAGATGATTTATAACTTTCAACGCTTTCAACTGATTATTATTTTGTATGTTTAGCATGCGTTTATTGTTCTACATGTATAAGTTTCTCTAATTTTTTTATATTTATTATAGTTTATTATATATATTATATAGTTTACATAAAAGGCGCATAAAAAATAATTTATCACGCCACAATTCTTAATTATGATTCCGATTATCTGTTTTTTATAAATACATTAGAGATTTATTTTTATAATTAATATATAATTTTGTTATATAACTAAAAATAAAAATTATTTATTATATCTGACTGGTCTGTTTATTTAAAATAATAATTTATAGCAATGATGTAATAAGATATGTACTAAGAAAACCTCTGCATTAAGCTGTTAGTTGATATCGCGCCTACAACTAACTGCTGAGTATGCTGCTCAATTTCTCATTAAAAAACAGAACGGACTTTGGCTTGTAGAAGCCATTCTTATTGCTAAAGAAACACTCATGGAATAATTTTATTTATTAAAAATAAAGATTCAACTAGAATTAAACATGTAGATAAAAAATGTTCACATTCATGTACAAAATAAAAGACAATATAAATTAGTTACTGTAATAAAATCGTTAGAAAATGCTCAATTCTTCAAACATCTTAAGTCTTACCTTATCATTAAAATGTTAAAAACTGTTTATAGAGTATGTATTTCCCAGAACTATTTTTTTTCTAGATGGCTCAGATTATTTATATCATTAAACGTTGATGATAATTAGTATGATAATTGTGTAAGACTAGCCGTAAGAATGCATAAAGTTCGTGAGAAGTCCATGGTATAAGATACGATTACGCACGTGCTCAGGAAAGTACAATGATAGTCTTTGACCCCGCATAAAAAAAGATATGAATATTATATAAATTGTAGTATTAAAAAACTTTATCTAATAAATTCACTAAATTTTATCACACTCGACATTTTACAATCTTTCATCTATTCCTTAAATTTTTGTACATTTAACTACAGGCATTTAGAATTCTTTTGACATATATTTAAATTTAAATTTTAATATGTCTTACAATATTTAAATTTCTATTATACAAAATAAAATAAATTATATTATAAAATAAAATAAATTATAAATACACATAAAATATAAATGCACAGAAAAGTACAGAAAAGCAGAATCTAAAAAATGAAATTCAGAGAATAAAATTATTTTAAAGAATAACATATTTTAAAGAATACATATTGCGAGTGTGTAGTTATTATTATATTAAATAATTAAATGAATTACCACACACATATATTTGTAAGACTTAAATATAACAACATATCTTTTTTTATAAATTATAAGTTTTACATTATAGTCAATTGATATTATGGTTTCCAGAAAGGCATTATCAATCAAATATTGAATTCCAAAAAAGCATGAGAATTGTAAAATAGCTGCTTAATATAATATATTAAAAATGATAAAATATATCTCTCAAGTTCTACATGTAAGCGATTTAATTCAGTGAATTTAATTTATAATATGAACATTATTTTTTACTGATGTGTGATGCATTATGTAGACGGCCCTGTTATTCGCGTGAAAACCCCCAGTCCCATGAAGACCATCTTGAGTATATATAAGAAGATAACTTTGCGTGCTTACTACAAAAGATGTTAAACGACTTGAGTGAATTAATCTGCGAGTGAGAAAGTACTTTTAACAGTTTATAAAAAATTGTAACCCAACATCAAAGGTAAGTACCACAAATTATTAACATTTATGAAATTATTAAAATTTAATTTTATTTATTAGATAAAACTTAATAAAATAACTATCCTGTCCTTTTTTTAATTTTAATTTAATTTGTTACTAACTTATATTTACTATTTTTTAAAGTAACTTTTTATTTAAGTTTAAAATTTATGAGTTTTATTATTACATTAATTTATTATTACTTTATTTGTTATATTTTTACATTAATTTATATTATTAATCAACTAATTTTATTATTAAATAATCTATAAAAATATATTAAATAAGTATTTTTTTAACAAACGTAATAATATAAAAATCGAAGATGAACAAAAATCAAGGATGTTATAAAAAATTAAATAAAATTTAATATGTGTAACACATTAAAATTAGCGACGTATTTACTAATTTTAATGTATTGGATATATTAAATTTTATTTAATTTTTTATAATGTCTTTCGTTTTTGCTCGTCTTATTTTATATTATTATATTGATTATCAATAATAATTATCCATATTTATCTTGCATTTTTTACTCTTTTACTCTTCATTTTTTTACTATCGTTACGTATTAATTTGTCTGTTTTCTTTTTTAGATGACACTAGGTCACAAATTCACGATTTTTTTTATTTTCGCCATTGTGTACCTAGCAAAGACTCAACATGACAAAAATCGAATTCCTCCTTGGGATTTCAAGCCTAATTTTTGGACAATAAATCGGTCAGACATTGTGACAGATTTACCAACACCATCAAATAAACCAAATGTTATTTCTACTATTTCAACATTTCCCTTAAATTCGTGCCCTCCTCATACTCAAATCTTCAGTTTCTCTAATGTCGGTCTTCAAAAAATCGGTCGAGACTTTATTAACAGCAATGATGTTGTTAGCCTTAGCCTTAATAACAATAACATAAATGATATTTCGCCGTTCGCCTTCCGCAAGATGCAGAACTTGAAATATTTGGATCTTTCTGGGAATAATATTCCGAAAGAGAAGCTATTATCGTTGCCAAGAAGCGCCAATCTGCAGATATTGATTATCGACAACAATCGAGATTCTCATAATCCCGTTACTGAAGCTCTGAAGGAATATGAAGTTTTGCAGAACTTGAAAGAGCTGCACCTGTGCAACAGTCAATTACGGAATTTTCAAATTCATTTTTATATGGCAACACCTATTTTGACTCACTTATACCTGAACAATAACGAGATCAATTCTAGTGATGCCGTCTTCAACAATATTCCGGCAACATTGACTCATCTTTATCTAAACAAAAATGTTATCGATCGAGTCAAACTAGGCAAATTGAGGTAATATTTATTTAATTGTTTTGTTGTAATATTTATTTAATTAATATTTTTCTTGCTTATCTAAAAAATTGAATTTTAAATAGACAGTAATTGATATTTCTGTTATTTCTATCATTTTATATATATATTACTGCCATTATTAGTATCATTAACATTATTGTCATTATCGTTGCAGTTATTAATTTTAAGTTGTTATTTTTCTCTAGAGAAAATTTTTCTTGGAATTCTTTATATAACATTTTTCAGAATTTTTATATAATTTATACCTTTTAGAAAATTTCTCAGGTTTTTTAATATGTAGATTGATATGTAGATAGATTATGAAATATTATGATCGTGATATTATTTGTAATACTATAAGTATTAATTTCATCAGAATTGTCATTGTTATTGATGTTAATTTTGTATTATGATTATTGTTATCAATATAATTATTGCTGTTATTATTGATGTTATTTATTTCTTTTTCTTTAATCTCAAGTATTAATTTTAGGCATTTGCAAGAACTCAGTATGAACGACAACGTCATTACTCAAGTGTGTTTTGAGAAATGCGAAGATAAATCCATATCCTTGAAAGATGCTGCTGAAATGCAGTATCTGTCTTTAACCAGGAATCTGATCTCAGAGATATCATCCGATGCTTTTAGTGACACAAGTCGCCTGTTAAAGTTAGATCTATCAGGCAACAAGATCGCTGATATAACTAAAGGCACATTTAATAACACGATGATGATAAGTAATCTTTCTTTAGCTGATAACATCCTTGTTACTGTACCGGATGTCTGCTCAATCATGTTCCTAAAGAATCTGGATCTGTCTGGAAATCGCATCAGCGCAGTATTCTCTGGCACTTTCTGCATTAATTTGAGGACTCTCGAGTATTTACATCTGTCAAACAATGTTATAACCACTATTGAAACCCGAGCTTTCCGCAGTCTCCAAAGTTTGAAGTATCTGGACCTTTCTGGAAATCGCCTCAAGCAACTTCCGGCACATTGGGTATATTCATGGTATATCCAAGAGTTGCATCTTGAACGAAATAACTTCACCGAGTTGGACAACATATCGTTGATTAATATTAAGGAGCTTAAAAACATTTATCTTGATGAAAATCCCATGCCAGTATTGACGGCAGGATCTTTTCAATTACTTCCAAGACACGTAAGAATACATTTGAAAAATATGCGTATTGAATATAAATGCGAACAGTGTACATGCGAGAATGAGGACGATGAGGATGATAAGAATGATGATTATGAGAATAAGAATGGAAACGATGATAATAGTGACTAACTCTTGGTAATAAAAAAATGTCTTAAAAATTTTTAATTATATCTTTTAAATATATTTCGTTCTCAAAAAGATTTTATAAATGAGATAGAAAATGAGATAGAATGGAAGTATATAATTATGGTAAATATTTCTTACAGTAATACTTAAGTTTTATATTGTTTTATTTAAAAAAAATGTTTCAAACAAATTTTATATTATTATATGAATATACAAAATAAATGAGAACAAAAATTCAATATTTAAATTTACATTTAATTAAATAAAAAGTAACTAACCAAAAATTGTTTACTACTTAGAAAAATATACTTAAAATAATTTTTATCTTTAAAAATATTGGTTTTAATAGTTTTTAAATATTTCAAACAAAACTTACTAAATAATGAAATAAGTATAAAAAAAAATTTGCTGAAATAATTTTAATAAATATTTGTTTCAATACTAACGAATACATACAAAATATGTACTTACAGTAAATAAGTATTTACTCAAAATAAAAAAATTATGTTTAAATCAAATAAATATGTGTTTACATTTAGTAAATATTTCGTTAGTAATATCGAAATAAATATTTACTAAAATTTAGTGAATTTTTTTCAGTATACTTTAGTTTTAATTTCGCTAATAAATATCTTTGATGAAATCACTTTTTATTATGTAATTCATTTATCAATAACTTACATAAATTTGCAAATAATTTTGTTTTTATTACAAATAATTTACCATATAAATAATTAAACCTTAATTTCGTAATTTACAATTAGTTTTACAAATAGAAATCAAATAATAATCATTATCGCTTTTTAGTGCTTTTAACGCTTAATGAATTACATACTTAAAGCAAAGTACATTATTTGAATTCATCATATTGTTATTGTACTTTGCTAATACTTTATTATACGCTTGATTATTTTATGCATCATTGTATTGCTCTACAAGATAAGATAATTATATAATAAATACATGCGTAATTATATGTTCTTTGCTTGTATGATTTTTAAAATAAAAACATTTCATAATGAATTTATATATATATGTATATATATATATATATATATATATATATATATATATATATATATATATTTGT